CGTCTCCCACATTGTAGGCGGATTCTTTACCTTCTGAGCTCATGGCATTTGGTTTTACCCAAATGTTTATTTGTTTGTTTGTACTATGTTGGCATTTACACTGATACAAAAGGAGTTATAGGCAAAAAAAAAAAAAAAAATCCATTCAAAGGGCAAAGTAGACCAGTGATTTTTAACTTAACAAAGTATGAAAAGTTTTTTGAAGTGGTATCAAGTTCCACATTTTACTTTTAAGGAGCAGCTGCTTCTTAGTTTTTGGTATAGTATTAGAAAAGATGACCTACACTTACTTGAAATATTTTTTCCCTTTTCCAACTGTTTATCTGTGTGTTTAGATTTTCACTTATACTTAAACCAAAACAACATAAAGCATGAGATTAAATATCACAACAAATATAAGAACCCAGGTGTCTCCTATATACAGATTTGAAAGAGACTTGCAAAACTTCAAATATTGTCACTCCTCTCACTAATTATTTTGTTTTGGGAAATAGTTGCATTTCATCAAAAATGTGTTATTTATGTTAACACGCAGTAGGTTTGTTCTTGTTGTTAAATGAATAAATATTTTAAAAATTTCTTAGTTTTAATTTCTAGTGTGGTAAATATTAATAAATATAGCCCTCATAAACAAACAAACAAAAAACTCTTTGAAGTCCTCAATTTTCAAAGTGTAAAGGAATCATGAGATCAAAGATTTTGGAAATTATTAGTCTACATGATAATATCTAGTCTCAAAGAAGTACTTTACAGTGGGGTTCATTGTGTAACTGCTGATTCTTTTTAATGTTTCTAAAATTACTCAATTTTTGTAATAAGGGTAGCATCTGATATCATTGGTATCCTTACAGGAATTGGACTGCTGCTGCTGCTGCTAAGTCGCTTCAGTCGTGTTCGACTCTGTGCGACCCCATAGACAGCGCAAATCTAAAATTTCCTTCCAGTTTTGCTGTTAAGATTCTTATTTGTAATTCTAAAGTTATTACCCTATTCAGTAGTGAATTTTAGATACTAAATGCAATTGAAAGTCAGAAATTAGAAGTATGTCAAGAGAGCCAGAGGAAAAGAGGGTGGGAGTGAGGGAGAGTAGGAGGGAGGGAGGGATTGATAGACTTGGTAAAGTGAAATAAGGCAATAATGTGAGTTTGTCCTGAGTTTAATATAGTCTCAGTAAACAGGCTTTACAAGTGTACTATTAAACCTTCATTTAGCTATGGAAATGAGGACACAGTAGAATGAATAAATTTATAAGTTTTTAAAAATATCTGATTTAGATTGTTACTTAAGATGCCCTTTAAACTTTAATCCAGAAATGCAAAAAAGAACAAAAAATCCCACTTATTCTGACTTCTTGTTTTTTTCCTTTTAATGCAGACCATAGATAGTAGGAAAAAATGTGAAACTATAAAATGTATGACATGGCTAATCAACCTCATAATTTAGACAGACAGAAAAACTGAAATGTGGAAGTACTGCTTCCTATTTCATTCTACACTGGAGAGGAGCAATTCAGGGCCCCCAACATGCTTTATGAGACATTGTCTTGTTTCACAATAGCATGAAGAAAGTAGGAGCAAAGCTCAAGTTGGAGAAGAGGAGAACTTTAAGGGAGACTGTAAGATAATTACTCAGGTTGACACAGAGAAGATAATTCAGGTTTTCTTAAATTTAGTGCTGGTAGCAGATTTATATTTTGTCAGGAAACCTGGGTTTCCTGCTATAATACAGTTTTCCATATTCTAGTTTTTATGGACAGAGCCTATCAATATCTTCTTGCCCAGTGTGGATCATAAGATTCAGATTAAATTGCAAGGGGCAGTTTAGGTCATCCATGGCCAACTTACATAAGAAGGTTAGTCATTTGAATGAAAACTTGTCTAGGCCACAAAACCACCACATTTCTACATAAAGTAGGTGCATCCCTCTCTGTTGAAGTGATCTTGGTATTTGACTCTAAAAATAGGTCTGCATTGTGGTAAAAATGTAACCCGTTTGTTTATCCAAATCATGTGAAGAAAATCAGCTTTGACATGGCGTTTAAATTCAGGCAAGAACCCTTTATTTGCCAAGAATTACTGAATTAATTCCTTTAAAGCTTTTTGTGATAATTTTAGGAAAATTTGAAGTATAAACAAAACTTTAAATGCTTGAAATGAAAGAGTTGAAGGGAGGAGAGAGTTGGTGTGAAACGGAGAAGCTACCGATGGCAGCAGGTGTGCGAAGTTCGCAGGAGATAGAAGCAGGAAAACAAGGGGAAAAGGAAAGAACTTCTAAAAATCAGTAAACATGTCAAGCCAAGCTGGTAACATTATTGGTTCTTGGATCTTGAGTTATTTTGGAGGGTAGTTGATGAGCTCCCCGAACATGCCAAGCAACAAGTTTAGATAGACTTTTAGAGCGCAGTGGAGTTAGGCAGAAGGAGCACTGATGACAATGTTGGACATATATGGGGATTAAGAAGAGAGGCATGCATACACCTGATGCCCTGAATACTGACCTGTTTACTTTCTACAGATCATCACCTATAGTTATGCATATTTGAGTAATTGTAGCATAAAACATCTAGGAATCATCTAATTTCCTTGAAGTTGGTCAGTACTGGGAATACGTATCATCCTGTGATAAAAAGACTAAAAGTCTATGGAAAGTAATAGTAATGAAGACTCTCACCTAATAGGTAAAATGTGCTTATTTATTATTGATATTTACAACTCTCCTGCACTCATGGGCATTTGTTTTTGAATTTCTTCAGTTTGAAGTGCTCCTCTAGTGTAATAACTAAATAGTAATAAGTAATGTATTTTAAATGTTTCCTACACTGTATTCCTGAGAGGAATTAGTCCTTCATGGCTAAAGATCTTTTGATATATCTTGAAACATCATAAAAGCCTTTTACTCAATGGATCTAATATGCGCTTATAGTTAAGATACGTTTCAAGTTTTTCAATAGCCCAAATGAGTAAACAGTTCATATTAAAACTTTTTTGAAGTGATTTTTTTGGATCTCACCTCTAAAGCAAAGGCAAAAAAAAATAGAAAGCAAAAATAAACAAACAGAAGTATATCAAAATAAAAAGCTTCTGCACAGCAAAGAAAACCACCAATAAGATGAAATGGCAACCTACTGAACTGGAGAAAGTATTTATAAATCCTATATCTGATGAGTTAATACCCAAAATATATGAAGAACTCATACAACTGAGTAAAAAACAAACAAAAAATATCCACAGCAGTCTCACTGAAAAAGGGGCAGAGGATCTGAACAGAAAATTTTCAAAAAAAAAAGAAAATTTTCCAAAGAAACATAATAGATGGACAACACATATGTAATGTATTCAGCTTCCCTAATCATCAGAAAAATGCAAATCAAAATCACAGTGAGATATCCCTCACACCAATGAGAATGGCTATTTTCTAAAAGACAAGAAATAAAAAGTGATGACAGAGATGTAGAGAAAATGGATCCCTTGTGCACTGTTGGTAGGAATATAAACTGGCGCAGCCACTATGGAAAACAGTTTAGAAGTTCCTCAAAAAATTAAAAATAGAACTACCATGCTGCTGCTGCTGCTAAGTCACTTCAGTCGTGTCCAACCCTGTGCGACCCCATAGACAGCAGCCCACCAGGCTCCTCTGTCCCTGGAATTCTCCAGGCAAGAACACTGGAGTGGGTTGCCATTTCCTTCTCCATACAGCCCAACAATTTCACTTTTGGATATTTATCCAAAGAACATGAAAACACTAATTGGAAAAGCTATATGCATCCTTGTGTTCATTGTGTCATTATTTACAATAGTCATGAAATAGAAACAACCCAAGTGCCCATTGGTGGATGAATAGCATACTACTCTGCCATTGAACAAGAAATGAAATCTTACCATTTATGATGACATAGATAGACCTTGAAGGTATTATGCTAAATGTAATAAGTCAGAGAAAAACAAATACTGTGTGATGTCACTTATATGTGGAATCTAAAATCCAAAGTAAACAAAACAAAACTCACAAGTACAGAGAACAGCATGATCTCTAAGAGGATGGTGGGTGAGATGGGTGAAGGGGGTCAAGGGATACAAACTTCCACTTATAATCAGCCATGTGAATGTCATCTGCAGCATGGTGATTACAGTATTGTAGTAGATATTTGAAAGTTGCCAGGAGGGTAAATCAAAAAGTTCTCATAAAAAGAAAAAAGATTTTCTAACTTCTTATGGTGACGGATGGTAATTAGACTTGTTAGGATCATCATTCTGTGGTGTATACAAATATTGACTCATTATGTTATACACTTGAAAATAATATAGTGTTACATGTCAGTCATACCTCAATAAAAGAAAAAAAATTAAAGTAATATAGGAGATGAGACTCTTAGAAGAGTTGAAACATTTAACTTTGATATTATATTGTATGCCTCCACCGTAAGAGACTCGATGGTAATGTTTAGATCATCTCTGTTTTTAAGATCTTACTGGCCTCTAGTGGTAATATGATGCTATAGTTTAACCAGTTCTAAAATCTTACAACTGACCAAAAATAAAGCCATTTTGAAGATGTAGGCTGCCAATAACTTCACTCTTTAAATTCAAGCTCAGCAGTACTCTTGAGTGTACATGCAGCAAGCAGCATCTTCTTCCAAAAGATATCTATCCTTTGTTCCTGTCTCTGAGTCACCCCCACATCTTTTGAATGATAACTGGTTTTGCCCTGAAGTGATCTCCCATTATTTTAGTGCATGTACACTGGTGATTACCATGTCAAATTTGTACTAACAATTCTTCCCAAAGGGTTTCAGCCCTCTTCTTTTGCAGACTATAGGGCAAAATCGTCCCTCTGTCAAAAACTGTTTGTATTTTCTTCAGAGGAATTTTAACTTTTCAACTTAACTATTTAGGTTTATGTTTAGACCACCTCCCTTGATTTTGAAGCATCTTCCATTTGAAATGTGAATTTGCCAAGCATGGTAGTGATTTGTCACTTTCGTTTTTGTGTCTGTCACACAGATGTGAAAGGGCCACCTACCCACCGTCTGTCTTGTGGCCAGTCACCCTACACCGACACGACAACATGGGAGCGGAAGTACTGCATCCTCACAGACAGCCAGCTGGTGTTGCTCAACAAGGAGAAGGAGGTGAGGTTGGATGTTACTGAGAAAAGCTACTTCCCTTTTCTGACCAAATTCCTAAAATAGTCTAGTTTTAAATTTGCATCTTGATGAGTTACACTTATGAAAATGGAGGCTTTATGAATGGAGACTCTTAAGTGGTTTCAAAGCGCTGCCAGTGTCATCATGATGAATATGTGATTGTCCCGAAGCAGTGACTTCAACAAGACCAGGCTGGATATTCACTATGGAATAGTGAAAGAGATATTGAGTTGAGTAATTTGGAATGAGAATGGGTTGGATTGTGTAGACCTGGCCCTGAAATTGTATCATTCTAGCTATTAGAAGGGCTTCCCTGGTGGCTCAGGTGGTAAAGAATCCACCTGCAATGCAGGAGACCTGGGTTGGATCCCTGAGTTGGGAGGATCCCCTGGAGGAGAGCTTGGAAACTCATTCCATTCTTGCCTGGAGAATCCCTGTGGACAGAGGAGCTTGGTGGGCTACAGTTCATGGGGTCACCCAGAGTCGGACATGACTGAGCAACTAAGCCCAGCACATCTATTGGAAATTATATCAATCTTGCTTCTTACAAGTAACAAATGGCACAGTCAGCAGATTAATTGAAAGAAGTTTAACGAAGGGATTATACAGAGGTATGGCAGCAAAGGGGACCCACCAGAGGGTGATAAAGTACACATTAAAGCAGTTATCACCCTGGACCTTCAGGGCAAGGGAAAGGAGCAGTTTTTCTGGAACCCGGAGAACTGAAGTTGCACAAGAGGGCCAATGACAGTAGCTATGGCTGTACACAAGAAAACACAACCTCTACCAAAACAGAAATGGCCAGCAGGGAGGAAGCACTGGAGAACATGCCTGCTTTCTTTTCCTGCTTTCTGATTTCTTGCCAGAGCTACCTACCGGCCAAATCTGACTTAAAGCCAAAGGAAAAGATTGCTTTTGATGTGTTCTAGAAATCTGTTTCCTAAAGCACAGCAAGAGAGAGAGAGGCAAAGAATAGATCTGGAGAGACAGAATGTACCAAGTCCAGGCATTGAGTTCTAGGTAAATTTTCTTGTGCTTCTAAGTAAAAAACCCTTGAACTTATGTATATTCCATTATTACTTTACTCCTCAAACTGTTACAGTGTGCAGATTCTCCCACATCCAGTAATTCGTTTTCCTCTTGGTGATTTATCAGATGGTTGACTTGTTAGGACCAGAAAACCATCTTGCTTCCAACCTCCACAGCATAAAAAAATGATGAGTATGATCTTTACAAAGAAGAGGGATAATGGGGAGGAAAAGAGAAGAAGGGATCTCATTCAATGAAGGAGAAAGATTAATTGCCAAAAACATATATAAATAACTAGAAAGCCATTAAGGAGAATATTAATTCCCTAAGTCATCCCTCCAGAAAAGTGAATTCAGTTGAAGCAAAGCACAAAAAATACATTTTTTAATCCTTATCTGTGGATCCCTATACCCTTTTCTCGTCTCTCTCTCATCCCCCTCTGTACCTTTTGTTTCCCATCTCTTCTCCTACTCAGTATTCTTTAACATTGTAAAGGCAAGGTCATACCAATAAAGCAATTTCGATTTTCATCTTTTCATAGGCGGTACTTGCAAGGGCCTGGCTAATGTGCCCTCTATGAACTTGGTTATTCTTTTTCTCTAGCCTTTGGAAAATGTCCCTTACTTTTGTTACCATTTCCCTACCTGTGACCCTTTTCCAGTATTGTAATATAATTAAATTTGATTATATTAAAATAATTCAATAAAGGTCAGCCCTTTCTGGAACAGGATAGTACATGTTATTTTGTTTCTATTAAGTAGCTACATAATAAAAATTGGTAGGGTACATATTAGTATAGAATATTTCTGATTATCCAATCTGAATAAACATAATTCAGGATGCCCATTTAAACCAATCTACTCTGTCAGCAGCCTTTTATCAGAGCTATTAGTATGGAGTGATATGCACGTATCATTTACCATCTTTTTGCCCTTACCTACTTCAGTTTAGTACTGGAAGGAACCAAATAGCCTAAAGATACATAGCACAAGGTCAGGAGCATGCCTTATAGAGAACCATAATGTAACCCATGGATTAAATATTACTGATCAATTGAGTAATCCAGGCTTGGACCCCGTTTCATCCCATAAAATAGCTGTCCATGAGGAATGATGATTTCTAAAATGATTTCTTACATACTTTATCCCTTTTTAAAAAAAATTTGCTTATTTTTAACTGAAGGATAATTGTGCTATAGTATTGTGTTGGTTTCTACCAAGCATCAACATGCTGGCCGTCAAGACTAGCCCTCGCCATCCGGGGAACCCTTGTCTGCTCCTCGCCACGTGACTCTGTAAATCCCCTTTTCTGTCTCTGCTTGCCCCTCATCCTTCCCCACCTCTTGAAACCCTTTCACTAGGCCCTCTGCAACTCATAGTCCATCATCAGTCAAATCAGCTCGCTCTTTCACCCCTTCTCTGAAGGAGTTCCTTGATTCTAGATCTCCTGAGCACCTGTAGCTTTCTGAGGACACTGCTTTGTGTGAGGTCCTGTCAATTGATGGCCATTTTCCTCTCATGGCCTTCGTACCGTGCTGCCTGTGGTAGGCATCCTTCGCCTTTCATGGCTGCCTCCTGTCTGTTCACCCCCTGTTCCCCTATAGAGTCTGAACTCTGAGTCATCTTCTAGCCCCACCCCACACCGTCATTTCTCCTCATTTCTTATTGATTTTAGCTCCTGACTCATCATCATTATCTCCAGCACTACCCCTGCCTTCACTTGTGAGGATTCCAGTGTCTGCAGAGATGATCCCTTCAACACACTGGCTCTAAGTTTCCCAAACTCCTCCCCTCCAAGAATCCTTTCACCTCATTGCTATAGCTTCTTCACATTCTCAATTGTTCCTGTCTTACTCTTTGACCATCACCTGCTGTCTTTCTAACTCATCCTTTTTGCCAACAACTTTTCAATCCTTTTGGGACCTATGGGCCATTGATCTTGTCACTTTTCTCCCCTCATACCTCTGTTACCCTCTCTTCCCTCTTCATCCAGCTTGAGTTCCAAAATCACTTATTTTAATCTTTGCATACTATTTCCTTGCTGCCCCTGCCCCGTTTTGAATCATCTCGTATTCACTTGGCAGTGTGATAGGTCAGTTAAATCCTGCTGCTCATCTATTCCGCTCTCTCCCACACAGCATAATGTGTCTGGAGAGAATCACTCCACCTCACTGACGGTCTTTAACTAATGGCTGCAAACCTCACGCGAGCCTCTAACGCTCCTCGGCAGTCACAGAACGTTCCTTAGTCTAATTACTGTCCACCTCTCCTGGGCTCGTCCTTCTCAATCTGTGTGTGGTGAGGGACCAATCTTTTCTCTACCTCATCATGAATAAAAAAACACAATAATATGAATTGTGAAGCAAAATGAAATTTTAAAAAGACAAAAGTCTAAGTCCAAATTTTTTATTAGATTTGACAAAAAAATGAAATTGCAGTTCAATAATAGTCGTAATAAGAAATAGAATTACAAAAATGGTACGTGTTTATAGAGAGCGTGCTGTAAAATGAGATGAATCTACTGGTAACATAAAGCACACTTCTTAATTTCTATGTTGTTAAATCGTATAAACAAACAGCTTGTACAACAAAAGAAAACAGTACAGGACCTTGGACTGTACTTTGAGTAGCACAATCCAAAATGATTTCTGAGATGGTTTTTTTACATTTCCTCATATATTCTGACTCCTTCTCTATGTTTCTCTATTACCCTCACTTATAGCTGTTATTTTGCTGCTTATTTCATTAAGAAAATTCAGGCACTCAAGAGAACTCTGTTACTATGTCTACACGTCCACCAGCAACTATTTCCTTATACATTGATTTCCCTCTTTCCAGTGTGGTTGGATTGCCCAGGGTCCAGCTGTCAGCCCCTCCCTGTGCCCATTCTTGTCTATACAAGAAGATTTCACTGGCAGTTCTCCATTATTTCTTTTACATCTTCAACTCTTTGCTCTCTGCTAGATTGTTCCCATCAACATGCTATTATTTCTCCCATCTTAAAAGAAAAAAATAAGCCTGCTAATCTCACTTCTGTCTCCACTTACCATCCCTTTCTCTGCTTCTCTTCATGCAAAAACTTTAAAAAACTTCTAGCCGCTTTGTTTCTAATTCTTCTCTTCCCATTCTCTCTTAAACCTACTTCATTCACACTCTGACCTTCGCCACTTTTTGAAAATTGTGCTTGTTTAGCTCACTGGTGACCTCCACATTGCTAAATTCAGTGGTCACTCCTCACTTCTTGTCTTACCTAATCTTTAAGTTAGTGGCATTTAATTCAGCTGATCACTCGTTCCTTGTCTTAGAACCACCTTCTTCACATTGCTTTCCATGACACTGTGCTCTCTTAGTTTTTTCTGGCAGTTCCTTCTGGGTCATCTTTGGAGATTTCTCTCCTGCTCTCCAGATCTCAGCAAGAGAGTGTCATGGAGTTCAGTCCATGAACTTCACTTCTTTAGGAATCTCATCCAATCTTATGACTTCGAATAACCCTCTAAAGCTGATGATCTTAATTGTGTGTCTTAAGCCAACACAACTCTTTTCTTGACTCATGTATCAACCTGCCCATTATACGCCTTTACTTGGATATGACTTTGTCCATGTTTTAACCACATCAGGCATGTTCCTATCTTGAGACCTTAGCCTTGACTTTTCTGTCAGATATTTGCATGACTTACTTTCTCACCTTCTCCAACTCTTTGCTTGTATATCAGTTGCTCGGTATGGCTGTTCTGACCAAATTAGTTAAAATTACAACCCCTCCCTGTATCTCCATTCAGAAATTCTGATCTAGTTACCCGAATCTTATTTTTTTCCCCTGTACTATTTACCACCTTCTAAAATGTTATATAATTTATCATCCTTAATGTCTCTTTTATATAAGCTTTTGAAAACATTAGTTGCTCAGTCGTGTCTGACTCTTTGTGACCCCATGGGATGTAGCCTGCCAGGCTCCTC